ACGTTGCCCAGGCTGGTCTTAAACTCCTGGGCTCAAGCCATCCTCCCACCTCAGCCTCGCAAAGTGCTGGGATTACAGGCACGAGCCACCGCGTCTGGCCCAAAGAATCACCATTTGGGAGGCAAAAAGAGCTTAGAACTCCATCACAGACATCCTCCTTCTTTGATATAAAGTGGGGTTCTTGACCTTAATTTTAAACAAAGACCCTGAGAAGCACTGCTCTAGCTCAGAGGTCAAATATTTTCTCTAAAGGGTCTGACAGTAAATAGTGTAGGCTCTGCAGGCTACATGTTCCTGGTCACAGCTAGGCAACTCTGCCATTAGAGCACAAAGACAACTACAAATAATACCCAAATGAATGGGTGTGACTGTGTGTCAATAAAACTTTATTTATAAAAGCAAGCAGTGGGCCTGTCTGCAGTTTGCTAAGTCCTGCTTTATCTCAGTAGTTCTCAAACCCTCTGAGCCAAGTCATCAGAAGCACCTGAGAAACCTTTTGAAAGAACAGATACCTGGGTCCCACCTCTTGGTATTCTCATGCAGAAGACCCAGATAGAACACAGAAGAAATCTGTCTTTTTGAAAAAGTTTCAGATAATCAGTTTGGGGCAACTTCCCTTTATAACTTGTGTTCCATTCGACCACTGCTCTTGTAAGAATTCAGTTATATAATAGAGGCAGGTTCTCCAGTATTCGTTTTCTTCAGCTCCTTCTAATGAGCAAAAATAACATGAATAAGAGGTACAAGAAACATGTGTGAGGGCCAGAAGTGGTGGCTCATGCCTGTAATTCCCCCACTTTGGCAGGCCAAGCTAGGAAGATCGCTTGAGCCCAAGAGTTCGAGATCAGCCTGGGCAACATGGTGAGACGGCGTCTCTGCAAAAAAAAGAAAATATCAGCTGGGTATGGTGGTGTGCACCTGTAGTCTCAGCTCTTCAGGAGGCTGAGGCAGGAGGATCGCTTGAGCCCTGGGGCGGTCTAGGCTGCAGTGAGCTATGATCGCACCACTGCACTCCATTCTGGGCAACAGAGTGAGAACCCCTCCCAAAAAAACAAACAAAAAACCACCCACACACAAGAGAAACATTTGTGTAGTCCCACTATGTGCCATACGGTTTTCTACGACATGTACTAAAAGATGGACAAATCTTTGATCTTAAGGATCAGTACTCATGAGAAGAGGGGTCTCGTTTCATCTTAGCTATTTATACTCTATCTATAACTATCTATAACTACATAGAGTATAAATATATCTATAACTAGGTAGAGTATAAATATGTCTGTCTTCACAAGAGGCTGCTCCACCATCTTCCTTCCTTGAGATTTCCCCTACCCTCTGTAAAGGGCCTGGCCCCTTTCTCTCCCCCAGGCTTTCACTTTTCCTTTGGAAGACAAATGGGGTAAGCACCCTCGCATTGGAGCAATTTCTACACCAAATAGAAAAGACATAGCTTACACTTAGTGAGGTGCTGGAGATGGTTTACAAGAGACAATTACTAAAATTCAGGAATCGTACAAGGCAGCCGTTAGACCCTTAGTAGCCTGGAATCAGGCCTGGTCAGAGTATTTACACCACGGGAAACGGCAGTCACTACAAATCAGGGCTTCCTTTCCCACTGTCCTCGTGCAGAGGTGGGTGTTAGACATTTACCAGCATAGCATAGCTTAGATTCTTCAGCAGAAGCTGTACTCATGATGCTTCTGGTGCCAGGCCAATGGCTAAACACTGGGGCCTGGACCAACCCTTCCCTGACATTTTTTTTTTTTTTTTTTGAGATGGAGTTTCGCTCTTGTTACCCAGGCTGGAGTGCAATGGTGAGATCTCGGCTCACCGCAACCTCCGCCTCCTGGGTTCAGGCAATTCTCCTGCCTCGGCCTCCTGAGTAGCTGGGATTACGGGCACACACCACCTTGCCCAGCTAATTTTTTGTATTTTGAGTAGAGACGGGGTTTTCACCTTGTTGACCAGGATGGTCTCGATCTCTTGACCTCGTGATCCACCCGCCTCGGCCTCCCAAAGTGCTGGGATTACAGGCGTGAGTCACCGCGCCCGGCGACATTTTTTAAAGAGTTTGAAAGCCCAGAGTGGGTTATGAGAATCTAGTTTCAGAGACAAAGACTGTCACAGTACTTACTTTCTTCCTCTGTCCTATCTGGAGGTGACAACGTGGGCAGCCCAGGTTCCAGTGGAGGTGCAGAGTAGAGAGAGAAATCGACATTAAGACGTGGGTCTCAGACACCACCAACTAACCAGTCAGGACGGCAGAGGTAGAGATGAGGCAACCCAGCTCACTTATTTTATGGGTGAAGACACAGACTCAACTACTCAGTCACGCCTTCTAACAGGTGTTTACGAGGCGCCTCCTGTGTGCTGGGCATCACACAAGGTATGGAGGGTGCAGTGGAAAGCAAAGCAGGCCTGACCCAGATGCTCAGGGAGCTCACAGACTCGGCGGAGAAGCAGGCAGCAAAGGCGTCAAAAACTGGGGTGAGTGTTTTGGGTAGACCTGCTGGGTTCCGTGGGAAGCTGTAAGGGGGTGATGGTTGCTGACCTTGTGGGGACTCCAGGGGAGGCATCTTGGGGGAAGTTAGGTCGTGTCTGAGACCTGGAAGATGAGCAGGGGTTAGCTGGGGGAAGAAATTTGGCAGAGGAGGGAGGAAAGGGTTGCAGACAGAGGGGAACAATGTGGGCATCTTCCTGGGCAGGTTGGAGCCTGCAGGTGCAGGAGGATCGAAGGAGGCCCACTGTCAGGGGTCTGCTCACCTGCTGGCGTTCCTCACAACGTGGTGCCCCTATTGTGGGGAAACTGGGCAAGTTAACAGACCCCCCCAACAGTGATATCCGACATGGGGCGATCCTGACAGCAGCCCACCTCAGGGTCACGATGGTGGAAGATGACCGTGGCATGAGGCATGGCTGGAGAATATCCGGAGCTCAGTAATGCTGCACCCTCGGAGTCAGCTTAAGGGCCTCAGCCTTCACCCTGAGAACAGCGAGTGCCACCCATTAGGACCCGTGCTTCAGTCCTGGCTCTGTCACCCCAGCCTCATGACGACCAGCAACTCACTCCATCTACTTGTGCCTCAGTCTCCTCGTTGGAAAAGTGGAGTCATAATTAAGACACCAACCATCCTGGTTTGCTCAGAACGGAAGGGGTTCCCAGGATGCAAGTGTTTCAGAGCTAACACTGGAGATGCCCTGGGGCGAGCTGGTCACTCTGGACGTTGTGGCGTTTCCACCTCTTAGAGAGGTTAGAAGGACTAAAAGAATCAGTGCACGTGAATACTTGGAAATTCCCTGGCTCATTTAAGGTGCTGAGTGAATCTACTCTTAGTGGCTACCTTGCCTCCGAGGCTCTGCTTTCTTCCAGGCCTCAGTTTCCCCAGCTGTTTAGTGAATCAGATGATTTCCAACCCTGTGAGTCTGTGACTCCCGCCACATCCACCTCGACTCCCCGCCGTTGTTATGACAGTGGCTACATTAGATTGGTACTTGGTTTCATGGCAGGCACTTCACATGTGGAATAAGAACATTTTGCTTTTTATAAAGTCTAGCTGGGGGCTCACGCCTGTAATTCCAGCACTTTGGGAGGCTGAGGTGGGCAGATCATGGGGTCAGGAGTTTGAGGCCAGCCTGACCAACATGGTGAAACCCTGTCTCTACTAAAAATATAAAAATTAGTTGGGCATGGTAGTGCGTGCCTGTAATACCAGCTACCTGGAGGCTGAGGCAGGAGAATCGCTTGAACCCGGGAGGCGAAGGTGGTTGTGAGCCAAGATCGCGCCATTGCACTCCAGCCTGGGTGGTAGAGCAAGACTCCATCTCAAAAAAATAATCATAATAAAATAAAAAAATAAAGTTCAGCTGCATACCGCCCTCTTGGCACACAGAGGGCTGGTATGTATAGGTTGGGTGGATTTGGGGGACAGGAGTGACGGAGAATGGAATTATTGAGCTTGTTTGAAGGCGAAGACTGCAGTTCCACAGGCAATGTGGGAGGGACAAAAGGCAGGAGGAGAAGGAAAGGAGGGGTGAGGAGAGCTGAGCAGAGCTGGTAAGGCGGGGAAACCATGCGCTCAAGGTTGGGGCATTCCTGACACTCTCACCTTCATCAAAATTCAGTCATTCTAGGTTTCCGTAAGATTTTTCCCACAACACATTTCTGGGAGGAACCCACAGAGGAGAGTCCTACCGCAAGGTTGATGGGCAAACAGGGAAAGCGCATGGTTGTTTAGCCACCTAAGATGGACAGAACTCAGAAACTGTCATCATGGGAGCGGCAGAAACCACCAGGAGGACTTTGGAGTCCAGAACCCATGGAATGGTGGGGGTGGCGGGGAGCCGAATCACATTGACCGGCGCCCTAATATCTGAGTGTTTCTGACATCGTGTCATAATCTCACAGCCACAGTGCAGTGTGTGCTGCTGATGCTGGTTCACTGGGAAGCAAACAGACTTGGCCTGGGTGGTGTGTGCGGGTAAATAATGGAGCCGGGCGCGGTGGCTCACGCCTGTAATGCCAGCACTTTGGGAGGCCGAGGCGGGTGGATCACGAGGTCAAGAGATCGAGACCATCCTGGTCAACATGGTGAAACCCCGTCTCTACTAAAAATACAAAAAATTAGCTGGGCATGGTGGCGCGTGCCTGTAATCCCAGCTACTCGGGAGGCTGAGGCAGGAGAATTGCCTGAACCCAGGAGGCGGAGGTTGCGGTGAGCCGAGATCACGCCATTGCACTCCAGCCTGGGTAACAACAGCGAAACTCTGTCTCAAAAAAAAAAAAAAAAAAAAAAAAAACCAACCAAAAATTAGCTGGGTGTGGTAGTGGGCGCCTGTAATCTCAGCTACTCGTAAGCTGAGGTGCCATAATCTCTTGAACCCAGGAAGCAGAGTCTGCAGTGACCCTAGATTGCGCCACTGCACTCCAGCCTGAGCGACGGAGTGATACTCCCTCTCAGGGAAAAAAAAAAAAAAAAAAAAATCATAGCACGCATCACTTCTCTGTCATCTAATTTCTGTTTACTTGTCTCTGTTCCCCACCACACTCTGAGTTTATGCAGAATGAGCATGTCAGATCCGCCTCTGGGCCTCCATGCCCAAGCACGAGTCCAGGTACATACTAGATGCTCAGAAACCCTTGCTGGAAATTTCCCACCCAAGTGCACAGTCCAGGGGCGTTGCCACGTGGCAGGGTATTTACGTAGATCCCTGATGGCAGCCCATTCAGGAGAGTCAGCGCGGTGGCCAGTGTTACATGCGTGGTGCAGGATGTTCTGCCCATAGAAAGAGGAGCCAAGCTCTGTACTTGTATTTACCCCACACCCACCCTCTGAGCTCAGATATTGTCCCCATGTTGCTGATGAGGACAGCTGAACCTCCAAACAATTACGTGATTTGCTAAGACCTGTGCAGCCGGTGAGCGAAAAAGCAGGAACTCAGTCTCAGATCTCTCTGACTCCTGTAAATCTCCATTTCCTCATGTACAAAACAGGAATGTTAACCGGGGCAAGGCATCGTACATATCGACAAATACCACCGAGTTTGCTAGTGGACAGTGCTGTATTTATGTAGCTCACAACACCCTTCTCCGTATCCCTCAAATTCAGCTGGTAGATGATGCCTGATGTTGGGAATATTGATGTGGGCATTGAATGGCTGAAATCCAGGCGATGCATTTTACCCAGTGGGTGGCCTTGGGACGACCAGTGAATTCTCTGTACTCTGCGAAATGGAGATGTTATTTCCTGTTTGGAGCTGTGTCAGTACAGGAAGATAATGCAGACTGAGTACTTAGTGTAGCTCCTGGTTCTAGGTCACAGTGAGTAGTTAGAAATAGTGCCATGAGCTAGGTAATAATGACGATGAGGATGATAATATTGCAGTCATACATGAGGGTGTGTCCGTGTGTGTGTAGTGGGCAGCGACGTGGACTCAGGAGGAGGTAGTGATGAGGATAATAATATTGTATTGTATGTAAGGGTGTGTCCGTGTGTGTGTAGTGGGCAGCGACGTGGACTCAGGAGGAGGCAGTGATGAGGATAATAATATTGTATTGTATGTAAGGGTGTGTCCGTGTGTGTGTAGTGGGCAGTGACGTGGACTCAGGAGGTAGTGTGAGGATAATAATATTGTATTGTATGTAAGGGTGTGTCCGTGTGTGTGTAGTGGGCAGCGATGTGTACTCAGGAGGAGGTAGTGATGAGGATAATAATATTGTATTGTATGTAAGGGTGTGTCCGTGTGTGTGTAGTGGGCAGTGACGTGGACTCAGGAGGAGGTAGTGATGAGGATAATAATATTGTATTGTATGTAAGGGTGTGTCCGTGTGTGTGTAGTGGGCAGTGATGTGGACTCAGGAGGAGGTAGTGATGAGGATAATAATATTGTATTGTATGTAAGGGTGTGTCCATGTGTGTGTAGTGGGCAGTGACGTGGACTCAGGAGGAGGCAGTGATGAGGATAATAATATTGTATTGTATGTAAGGGTGTGTCCGTGTGTGTGTAGTGGGCAGTGACGTGGACTCAGGAGGTAGTGATGAGGATAATAATATTGTATTGTATGTAAGGGTGTGTCCGTGTGTGTGTAGTGGGCAGTGACGTGGACTCAGGAGGTAGTGATGAGGATAATAATATTGTATTGTATGTAAGGGTGTGTCCGTGTGTGCGTAGTGGGCAGCGACGTGGACTCAGGAGGAGGCAGTGATGAGGATAATAATATTGTATTGTATGTAAGGGTGTGTCCGTGTGTGTGTAGTGGGCAGTGACGTGGACTCAGGAGGTAGTGATGAGGATAATAATATTGTATTGTATGTAAGGGTGTGTCCATGTGTGTGTAGTGGGCAGTGACGTGGACTCAGGAGGAGGCAGTGATGAGGATAATAATATTGTATTGTATGTAAGGGTGTGTCCGTGTGTGTGTAGTGGGCAGTGACGTGGACTCAGGAGGAGGTAGTGATGAGGATAATAATATTGTATTGTATGTAAGGGTGTGTCCATGTGTGTGTAGTGGGCAGTGACGTGGACTCAGGAGGTAGTGTGAGGATAATAATATTGTATTGTATGTAAGGGTGTGTCCGTGTGTGTGTAGTGGGCAGTGACGTGGACTCAGGAGGAGGTAGTGATGAGGATAATAATATTGTATTGTATGTAAGGGTGTGTCCGTGTGTGTGTAGTGGGCAGTGACGTGGACTCAGGAGGTAGTGATGAGGATAATAATATTGTATTGTATGTAAGGGTGTGTCCGTGTGTGTGTAGTGGGCAGTGACGTGGACTCAGGAGGTAGTGATGAGGATAATAATATTGTATTGTATGTAAGGGTGTGTCCGTGTGTGTGTAGTGGGCAGTGACGTGGACTCAGGAGGAGGCAGTGATGAGGATAATAATATTGTATTGTATGTAAGGGTGTGTCCGTGTGTGTGTAGTGGGCAGTGACGTGGACTCAGGAGGAGGTAGTGTGAGGATAATAATATTGTATTGTATGTAAGGGTGTGTCCGTGTGTGTGTAGTGGGCAGCGATGTGTACTCAGGAGGAGGTAGTGATGAGGATAATAATATTGTATTGTATGTAAGGGTGTGTCCGTGTGTGCATAGTGGGCAGTGACGTGGACTCAGGAGGAGGTAGTGATGAGGATAATAATATTGTATTGTATGTAAGGGTGTGTCCGTGTGTGTGTAGTGGGCAGTGATGTGGACTCAGGAGGAGGTAGTGATGAGGATAATAATATTGTATTGTATGTAAGGGTGTGTCCGTGTGTGCGTAGTGGGCAGTGACGTGGACTCAGGAGGAGGCAGTGATGAGGATAATAATATTGTATTGTATGTAAGGGTGTGTCCCTGTGTGCGTAGTGGGCAGTGACGTGGACTCAGGAGGTAGTGTGAGGATAATAATATTGTATTGTATGTAAGGGTGTGTCCGTGTGTGTGTAGTGGGCAGTGACGTGGACTCAGGAGGAGGTAGTGATGAGGATAATAATATTGTATTGTATGTAAGGGTGTGTCCGTGTGTGTGTAGTGGGCAGTGACGTGGACTCAGGAGGAGGTAGTGTGAGGATAATAATATTGTATTGTATGTAAGGGTGTGTCCGTGTGTGCGTAGTGGGCAGCAACGTGGACTCAGGAGGAGGTAGAGAAGCCTGAGTTGAAAATGTTTTGTGACTGTATCATCATTTAACTTTGCTAAGCAGGCACAGAGAGGTGAAGGGACTTCTCTAAAGTGGCCCGGCCTGGGAAGGCGGAGACGTACGCTTTTAAAGCAGAGGTGCATAATGCGGACCCTGCCACCTTACTGCCACTCATCATCTCACTTTCTGACCTAGCCTCCTGCCTCCTAATCCTGTAAACTGAATTAAAAGCCATGGTTTCGGGCCGGGCGCGGTGGCTCACGTCTGTAATCCCAGCACTTTGGGAGGCTGAGGCGGGTGGATCACGAGGTCAAGAGATCGAGACCATCCTGGTCAACATGGTGAAACCCCGTCTCTACTAAAAATTACAAAAAAAATTAGCCGGGCATGGTGGTGCGCGCCTGTAATCCCAGCTACTCAGGAGGCTGAGGCAGGAGAATTGCCTGAACCCAGGAGGCGGAGGTTGCGGTGAGCCGAGATCGCGCCATTGCACTCCAGCCTGGGTAACAAGAGCGAAACTCCGTCTCAAAAAAAAAAAAGCCGTGGTTTCGTTCCACCTAACTTGTTCCAGATGGCGAACTCTAGGAATTATTAAATAGACAGAGGCGATGGTGGCTTTCAGAAAGCAAAGATGTCAGTGTGTCCAGGCAGACTGTATTACAGATGTCAGGTAGACCTCAATTTGCCTCTCAGACCGGACAGCGTTCCTTGAGCCACGCGTGGACCTTCCTGAAGTGTGCACCATGAAAGCGTGCTCCATTTCCGGGCCGCTGGCTTTTGGGGAGGTGGGGGCGAGCAGTAAAAGGGTTTGTTGTCGCTGTTGTTCACCAAAGGAGAATTCCAGCCCTTGGTTTCACTGGTTCCTCTATTAGACGCTAAGCTGTGAACAGACCAGAGACGAAACAAGAGTTGAATTCAGCAGCAGTAAATCCCTTTGGGAGAAAGGAAAGGGAACCCAAAGGGGGAGAGATGGAATGAGAGGGTTACCTGGCAGCACTGTTGGCAGCAGGGAGGGCAGGACCAGGGGCAGCGGGCGAGGGCCGGGTTGCCAGTAAAGGTGCAGAGAGAACAGGAAACAAATTAAGTCATCCTTGGTACCCCATGGGTTCCGAGATGGGTTAGGGAACCAGAATGGGGAGATGCAATGCATTCTAAGTGGATTGGACCCCTTTGGAGGCACATTTGGAGACCTGCATGTTAATTCTGGGAAAGGAAGAAGTCTTCCCCACCCTGTACCATATTTTTCTCATCAAAAACCCACCAACAAATACATACAATCTGATCCAGGTGTACATTCTAGAGCAAAGGTTCCTAGACTGTGTTAGGTCGTTGGTCCTTCTGAAAATCGGGCCAGAGAACACCACACAGGTTCTCTTTCTCTCTGACAGCACACCCAGTTTTAGACCTGATGACAAAGGCTTGTTGGCCTCCTGGAAGTCCTTCCAGCCGCACCCTTCCTAACCCCTGCAACTTGCGGATTCTGGATGAATAGGCCACGTTTGCACTGAGGGCATCAGAATCCGCCCGGGTTGAACGTGATAGTCAGCAGTTATGCCTCTCCCTTTCATCCCCTTCTTTCCCTAGATTGAAGGGCTCCCCGTTTGTGTAGGGAGGAGACGTGGCTTAGAGTTGACTGGAAAGGGCAGCAGGGCCAGGAGCCAGTGAATCAACATGGAAAATGCAAGGAAGACAGTGGAGTTGATACTAATATCATCCATCCCTGTTAATTTTCACATGCATTTTCTTTTTTTTTTTTGAGACAGAGTTTCGCTCTTGTTACCCAGGCTGGAGTGCAATGGCGCGATCTCGGCTCACCGCAGCCTCCGCCTTCTGGGTTCAGGCAATTCTCCTGCCTCAGCCTCCCGAGTAGCTGGGATTACAGGCATGCGCCACCATGCCCAGCTGATTTTTTGTGTTTTCAGTAGAGACGGGGTTTCACCATGTTGACTAGGATGGAACATTTATTTGCCCATTGTTATACAAAGGGGAACCTTTATATGGGACACCATTTTTATGTAGTTTGTCATATAGATTTGACACAGATCAATACAGCGACAGCTTTGTAGTGGCATGAGTGTTGGAAAACCTTTAACTTTGCAGTTTCAGAAATTAATCTCACAAATATAATTTATATAAGCACATACGTGTGTATGTGTATACACGCGCACACGTGCAGTTGACCCTTGAGCAGCACAGGTTTGAACTGCATGCTTACGCTTCTGCTTATCCACTTATACGTGAATTTTCTTCTGCCTCTGCCACCCCCGAGGCAGAAAGACCAACCCCTGCCCTTCCTCCTCCTGCTCAGCCTGCTCAGTGTGAAGATGACAAGGATGAAGACCTTTCTAATGATCCACTTCCACTTAATGAGTACTAAACATATTTTCTCTTTCTTAATAACATTTTCTTTTCCCTAGCTTGCTTTATGGTCAGAATCAGCGTGTAATGTATGTAACATGCAAAATCTGTGTTAATCTCCCGTTGACGTTATCGGCAAGTCCTCTGGGCAACAGTAGACTGTCGGTAGTTAAGTTTTGGGGAAGTCAGAAGTTATCCGTGAATTTTCAACTGCGCTGGAGGTTGGTGCCCCTCACTCTCACATTGTTCAAGGGTCAAATGTGTATGTGTTATGGTTTGCACGTGTCCGCCAAATAGCGTGTGCTGGACACTTAATCCCAAAAGCAACAGCGTTGGGAGGCAGGGCCTAATGGGAGGGCTCAACTTTCAGGGGTAGATGAATGCTGATTATAAAGGGGCTTGAAGCTTTGAGCTTGCTTGTGGGCTCGCTCGCTCTCTCTGTCCTTCCATCACAGGATGACACAGAAGGCGCTCACCAGATGCCAACCCCTCAGTCTGGGATTCCCCAGCCTCCAGAACATGAGCCAGTACATTTCTATTCATTATAAATTATCCAAGTCTCAGGTTGTTACGGCAGCCCAAAACAGACTGAGACAGTAGTTCTAGTTAGATGATAAATATATGTCTATATTATAGAGATATAATTCTGCATATGTCCATGTATAATCCTACAGATATAAACATACAGATCGACCTAGACACACATCCCATATGTCTAATTTCATGTAAGCTGAATTTTTCTTTGAAGCATTGTTTAAAAGAGCAAACTACCGGAAACAACCTGAGTGGCCGTTAGTATGTGACGGGACAAATAAATTATGGACTTCCATACAATAAATATCCGGCAGCCAGAAACATATAAATAGGATGTGAGGATGCTCCTTCTGAACTGACATGGAGTCATCTAGGAGAAAAAGGTGCGGTGCATACAGAACAGGGTGTGTGATACGCCGTCTCCTTTGTAAAAGTAGGAGCCAAGAAGACTTTGAACATGTAAATACACATTTGTTTCTACTTGCATGAAAGATCTCAGGAAGGATCTGGAAGAAACAGTAAATATGAGATTCTTTTGGGGAAGGGAAATGAGTGAATAGGTTGGGAAGGATTCCTTCAGTATAACCTTCAGAACTTCTTGAATTCTGAACCCTGGAAATCTCATTTTAAATGAAAATAACATGATGTTGTAAATCAAATATTTAATTAGTAATTTCAATGTAATGTTTATTTTAATTATTATGAATAAAATGATTTAACATAAAACATTTAAATTAAAACAGCATAATATTTTAAATTGAAACAAAAACAAAGTGTGGATCATGAGATGTTCGCATTTGTCTAGGTTTAGAAAGTTCAGCTTTCGAAGACAGGAAGGAACTCACATAGGCTAGCTTTTTAGGTGTAAGAAGCCCAAAACCTGATCTGCAGGCATTTTAGCTCACCAGGTCTGGTGTGGGGATTACATATTTTTTGAGTTTCCAAAGTGATTCTCATGATGATGGTTCTGTGAGGACACAGAGCTTTGGAAACCTCAGACCCAATGTGGGACACTTACTACTTTGAAAATTAAATCACGTGACATATTTCAAATTCTCAGTGCATGCCAGATGCTTATTTAATTCATGTTGGCTCCTTTCATCTCCTTTCGATCTGAAATAATAACACTCACTTAGGTTTTCACAGTGCTTTCCGTTTTGCAAACCTCTTTGCATTTACTTAGTCCTGCTGAGCGCTAGGAATTTTGCTAGGCTATAGAAATAAACAGAGGAGTAAGATACAGTCCCTTCCCTTTAGGAACTTACAGTCTCATCAGGGTGGAAAAAAGATCTTTTCCCTTCCATATGACTTGGAGCAGAAATTCTCAGAGTATCATCCAAAGACCACTTGGTGGGGGTGCGGGATGGTCCCTGAGACCCTTTCTGGGGATGTGATGGTTGATCTGGGGTGTCACCTTGACTAAGAGGTACCCACAGAGCTGGTAAGACATTTTTTTTTCTTGGCTGCTATAACAAAACATACATATTTATTCTCAGTGCGTCGGTAGGCACAGGGTCCATCCATCTGCTGAAAGGGAAGCCCGAGTGGTCTGGCAGCTGATGAGAATGATCGGGCGGCCCTGGGTGTGTCTGTGAAGGATGCTGGTGTGTGAGTTGGAAGACTGGGTGGGGAAGACCCACCCTCCTGGTGGGCGAGCACCAGCCAATTGAATGGAGGCCCAGATGAAGCAAAGGGGTGGAGTAAGGGTCAGTTCTTGCTCCGGGACGCCCTTCTCCTGGCCTTGGACGTCAGAACTTCAGGTGTTCCAGCTTTTGGGATTCTAGGACTTGAGCAAGCAGCCCCCCTGAGCTCCCAAGCCATTGGCCTCAGAATGAGGGTTAGACCATGCATCCCTTGGTTCTGAGGGCTTCAGATGTGGACTGGGCCACCCAACCGGCTCTCCTGGTTCTCCAGCTTTCCGACCCCACAACTGCATGTGCTAATTCCCCTGACAAATCCGTCCTCAGATATCAACATCTGTATCTCTATGTATCTCTACATCTTCATGATTCTGTTTCTGGAGAACTCTGCCTGAAACAGGGGTCTGCATGATCTTCCCTTTTCCAACTCCTTATCTGTGTGAGATTAGGTTTTCATTTGCTTCAACCAAAATAGCATATTGTGGCAGGGCGGGGCAGCTCACACCTGTAATCCCAGCACTTTGAGAGGCCGAGGCGGGCAGATCACTTGAGGTCAGGAGTTCAAAACCAGCCTGGCCAACACAGTGAAACCTTGTCTCTCCTAAATATACCAAAATTAGCCAGGCCTGGTGGCATGCAGCTGTAGTCCAGCTACGTGGGAGGCTGAGGCAAGACAACTGTGTGATGAACACAGGAGGCAGATGTTGCAGTGAGCCAAGACTGTGCCACTGCGCTCCAGCCTTGGTGACAGAGCAAGACTGTTTCTCCCAAATAATCAAATACGTGCAGTATTTTTAAACATACCACACTGTGACAGACTGAAGCAGAAATGAGAATTGAGCTGTTTTCTATTAAGCTAGACATGAAAGAGATTTGCAAAAATGTAAAATAATACCTTTCTTCTCACTAAACTTTTTCAGTTTGGAAACAAATGGCCATTTCACTAAAACATTTCATTTATGTCAATATGTGTATTTATTATCTTTATTTTAAAAATATTTTTAATTTCCTGGCCGGGTACAGTGGTTCACACCTGTAATCCCAGCACTTTGGGAGGCTGAGGCAGGCGGATTATCTGAGATCAAGAGATCAAGACCATCCTGGCCAACACGGTAAAACCCTGTCTCTATTAAAAACACAAAAATCACTCCAGACTCGGTGGCTTACGCCTGTAATCCCAGCACTTTGGGAGGCCGAGGTGGCCAGATCACGAGGTCAAGAGATCGAGACCATCCTGGTCAACGTGGTGAAACTCCGTCTCTACTAAAAATATAAAAATTTAGCTGGGCGTGGTGGTGCAGCCTGTAGTCCCAGCTACTCAGGAGGCTGAGGCAGGAGAATTGTCTGA